GGCTGTCAAAGGAAGGCTTCTATCCATTAAGAATATAGTAGTGCTTACATCCAACTTTATATACTTTGTATATTTTTATTTCTTGAAAATTTCGGCAGCACCTACCCGCTGTTCTCCCTGTACACTCTGCGGATGTTATTATACGTATCAGCAATAGCCCGAAATGCAGAATAACATACGCTTATTGTACACAGAGAACAACGAATACATGCTGCCAAAACTTTCAAGAATGAAAATATACAAAGTATACAAAATTGGATGTATGCACTACTATATTCCTAACCCGTCCGAGAAGGAAAGATCCAATAATTACGAATTTCAGTACCAATTCTTTATTCGTATAATATAAAATAAACACTCATATCCGGGAGAAAACTTCATCTACTACCCAAATATGAGTCGTATATCATATATTATAAGTCCAAAAAATTAGATGTAATTATTGGACGGAAGTTTAGGAATAACGTTATTTTTTCATTCACCTAAATTGGATTATAACACATTATAAAAAATTATAATGTGTTATATATCACTCTATTTTTAAAAAAATTTATTTCACATATTTTCACACCATAAACTTAAATAATCACACCAACTTATAGCACGAATGAAACTTAATTGAGTTAGGGTTTATAAGTGTTTAATTAAAATTATGATTACTAGTGTTGTTCAAATGAATTAACATGTAGTTGAGTTAGGATTAATTCATAACTAATATTTTTTCAATTAGGGTTTTAAGAATTAAACTCGTTTATTTTTTATCATAAATTAGGGTTTTTAAACAAAATTCAACAATAAATAATAATGATATTAAAAATTCTAAAGCTCGGTAGAAAAATTATACCTTTTAAGCAGATAAAACAATGGACGCGCCGGTGGTCACAGTTGGACTGCTAGAAAGCTAGGGCGTTTTTTAATTAAAGTGAAGGGGGGCGGCTGGGGAAGGGGGGGGGCTGTGCAGGTGAAAGGCGGGGTTGCGGCATGAAGGAGGGTGGAGGGAAGGGTAAGGGGCGCCGAGAAGGGAGGAAGGAGAAGGGGAGGGTGGGACAAGGAAGGGGAGGGCGCTAAGAGGGGAGGAGGAGGGCGGGGGCGGCTAAGAGGGGAGGGCCAGGAGGGGAGGAGAGGCGGGCGGCAAGGAGGGGAGGGCAGGAGGGGGAGGGGCAAACGCACAAAGGGAGGGCGCTAATGAGGGTGGTGGGAGGGGGCGCCTAAGGAGGTGTGGGAGGGGAAAGGGGTAAGGGGAATAGGGGGTAGTGGTGGCGCTAAGGAGGGTAGGGTGGGCGGCCTAAGGCGGGGAGGGCAGAGGAAGGGGCCTAAGAGGGGGTGTGGGGGAGGACGACTTACGGGGAAGGGGGAGGCGGGGCGGCTAAAGGGTGGAGAGAACGGCGGAGATGGCTGGGAAGGGTGCGAAGAGGAGCGGAGGGGGTCGAGTCGAAAGGGAGAGATAGGGACAGTAGAGTGAGAGATTAAGGCGAGGCGAGGCGGACGTGCGGGCGGGGCGGCGTAGGCAACCTAGATGGAATTCCGTCTAGATTTCCTTTTCCGTCTAGTTTGACTCAACCTAAACAGAAATTTTTTTCCGTCTAGGTTGTTCCGTCTAGATTGGTGGTTTTTCTACTAGTGGAAGGTATGTACCATTTTATTCAATCTCGTCTTAGTATGTAAACGAGTGTTAAATTCTGTTAATCATGCTACAAGAAATTCTTACAGTACTTAGATTGAAAAGGACAACGAGGAGGGAGAACTGAATGAGAATATGGAAATTACGCTCTTCATAACTGATCATCCAACTGAGAAAACTGGCATCAATCATTTGGAAAGTGTGCTGAAGGCTGTCAAGCATGCTGGGCAATACAAGAGCACAGTATTTAGCAATTGCTATTTATTACAAAACTACGCAAAATAAGTTTGCGATGCGTTGTTATTATTATCATTTTACTTTTTTTGTTCTGACCAAACCGGCTAAACAGTGTTGCCGTTCAATTTTGCGTACATGACGGTTTGTGTATAGTGGATTTTATGATCCGTGCATTGAACAGTTGTGATTTGATTAGAGAGCTATGTACAATATTATCTTGCTTTTGCTTTGGAAAATTATGCGCTCATATAGTATTTTGCTTAAGCCTACAAGTCACATGTACTCGTTGTTTTGCTTTCGCGGAATGTTACGAAATATGGTAACTATTTTACTGCGTAAACTTTTAAAATTTTGTAACATTTGTCCATATTGAAAAATATATATCTATATATTAGCTCAGTGGTAAACGGAATCCGTGCACTTGCACGGCCCTGAGATGAGTTCGGGTAATAACAAGAGAAAAGCCCAAAACGAATGAAGTTCATAAATGGGCTTCATATTAAAAAACCTTGGCCTACTGGGCCGTGTGAGGTAGATCCAAGGCAAAGTGGACTTTCTTGTTCCAAATTTTTCTTTAGTAGGAGACCCGAGTCACCCGACTAAAACGAAATATGATCTTTGTCTGTTTTCTCAGCTGCTGAGCTAAATTCCTCGACAAGGTGAAATTGCAAAGGGCATTTTTTGTGCTGAGAGGGTTTTAGCGATGGCTTCCACTGAAGAGGAAACCCTAACCCTAGCCGGAGACGAGCAACCAGAAGCTGCTTCTGATGCCCCATCCACCGCCAATGGAGCTGCTCCTGCTTCCTCCGATCCGCCGGTGGAAGGAGAAAATGCAGATTCCGCGGCGAAAACCCTAGAGCACGCGGCCGAGCTCTTCGACAAGGGATCTAAGGCGGTTGAGGAGGGCGATTTCGTCGATGCCGTTGATTTCCTCAGCCGTGCCCTAGAGATCAGGTTAGGGTTAGGGTTTCATTCGTTTCTTCTTCTTCTTCTTATTACTACTTTAGTTTCCCTATTGTTTATCTTAGTTTCCTTTTCTGCAATGCTTTGCTTAGAAGATAATGACTTCATGATTCTATGGAGAGGGACGTGGAGGTGCTTGCAGTTCCTTTACCTCTTATATTCTGATTTTGACTAGAAAAGAAATTACAAAAGTGAAGACATTTTACTTGACGTTATTATTGTAAATATTAGCCATAAATCACATTTTCATTAGTGTAAGTCGCGGATGAACCACGTCGGATATACCTAGAGTGGCGCTTATTACCCCTCAAATATTTTGGCTTTCATTAGCACCTAACACCCTTGAATTTCTACATTCTTCAGCTCCTGGTTTGAATTGTCTGTTATGGACGGTTCAATTTGTTTTCTGATGTTAGCCACCTTGGCCAACAATCATCTGGCTAAGGTCAAACGAGCCATTAATAGAAAACCTATTGAATTGATTGTCAACTAGTCCAAGCATGTGAAGCCTGTATCCAGTTAGAACAAATTTCTTTAAAAATAAAAGTAAGAGCAATGAAAAAAATTTAGACCATGGCCGGCGATACTCGTGTCACATTGTCGTGGAGTCATGTTGTGCTTGCACGTACTCATGTGAAGTATTATCCAAAGGGAACCTAGTAGCTTAAGCTGGTTTTAGAAGGAGAACTAGCATAAACCCATATAAGTTTAGTGGTCTATCAAGTTTGGTTCAAAAGGGTGGAAATGAAGGTGGTCAACTCATTAGATCAAGTTCCTTTAGAATGAGAAACAATAAAAATCTATATAAGTTTAGCGATATACAAATTTTGGGCTAAACATTTGTTGAACAGAGGATAGACAGCACCGGCTTTGGCGAAGAGGTGAAGTTCTAATGTTCTATGCCCATCTTTTCTGGTTTGTATTGTCTTTCATGTAGGTCCAGCTTGGTTTCTAATACAGGCCACAATGCGCACTGGTCATACTAGCGGTTTCAATAGCAAGGTGAAATGGTTTGTCAACTAAGCAATGTAACAGCCACTTGGACCTGGGTCCAACCATGTGAAATCCATGTTTGGCTGGAGTGAATTCTTTAACAATCAAATAGAAAAAGGATGAAATGAAGGCCACACTACACATGCTTTCATCACATTTGTAGTGCAACAGGCCAGTCATGAGTCATGAAGCATGTGGGCACATGTGCACGTATGGTCCTTCCAAAATGGTACTAGAAGTAGATCAAGTTCGTTAAGGAGGAGAAAGGGAGCCAATATGAAAAACTCATGCGGGTATAGTGATATATCTATTATCAGACTAACATTTCTGTGTGCAATGACCAACTTAGTAGGGAAGAGATGAAATTAGTGAAACCATGAATCTTATTTTTGAAATCGGAGTTAAAGTCATGGAAACTTCATCTTTTGGTCTCTAATCTAACATCAACTTGGAGAACTCTGACCGATGCATGTTTTATGAATTTCTGATAGTTTGGTTATCCTATCTTTGCTCAAAGGATATCAATGAGAAATTATTCCTTATTCTCGCCACAGCTAGATTAAGTTTTGGATGTTGATTCAACCGTGGAAAATCCCTAGTCCTTAACTCTTTTTCACCACAACAGGTCTAATATGTATTCTGCTGATAGCCTTATGTATGATATGAACATTGTCCTTGTATAAATGAATGTTGAAGGAGGACAATGTCTGTAATATTAACTTACGGTTTCATGTGCTTGAGGAGAACCTAATATCAATAATTCATGTCTTACTTTTTGGCATGAGCAACGGAGACATTTCTTGTTTGTGTTGCTTAAAACTAATATAGTTCTGCTTCCGATGTTACATATGGAACCACCTTTTGTTCTTGTCGTCCAAGTAAGATGATGGACAACATGAGAATTGAAAGGAATAAAAAAAGCATTCTGAACATCTCCAACATCTAAAGTTATGCCATAATAGTTTTTGGTAGATGCTTTAATGAGAACAGTCAAGATAAATACATAGGGCCTGCATTGAATCAAGTACTGAAGCATCCATCTTTTAAATTCACTTGTAATCTTTGCATCCGTATTCGTTTTGTGTTCTGAAATATATTTGTAGTTGACTGGAATTGTATTCGAACACTTCATGAATTATAAGATAACTGTTCTTTCTATTTGATTAAGTAATTCGATTGGATTGAGAAAGTCATTTTCAGGGATTTTTTTTCTCTCAAGATGCTGGGAGAAAATCCTTAATTTTTATATTCGATTAAAGAATTTGATTTTAAAATTATTAATTCAACAATTTTTTTATTTTCCCCCGTGTTATTATCCAATGCGAAGATCAAATGTCACTAACTTTATAAATAATAATATGGAACTTACTGAATTATTTGGAAATTATTCATGAATTTTCACTGACTGATTATACACGTGCCTTCACACACGCACACACACATACTGTAATACATGGGAAAAGCCAAGGACAAGATTAGAATAATTCACAAGAATCACGACTCAAATCCAACTAAGAGAAGTTGCTCATGCACCCATGCCTGATTGGAGCAACTGGTAATTATGAGGGCCACCCTTAGTCACAGTAGGGGTCAAAGACATTCGTAAAGGTAGCTCAGTAAATAAGGTCATGGACATATGGATTCTGTAGAAGAAGTGAAAATCAGTAGTTAGCAACAACCTTTGTTTGTAGGTGCTTTTAGCATAGCAATCTATTCCTTTTTAGAGTAACTTTTTCCTACATTTTAAGTGGTTCAATTTAGTAACCTGCTTTAGTACCTTTTCTAATTGTGCAGGGTTGCACATTATGGAGAACTCTCTCCAGAGTGTGCCATCTATTATTACAAGTATGGATCTGCTCTGCTATACAAGTCACAGGAAGAAGCTGATCCATTGGTCAATGTTCCTAAAAGTGCTCCAAAAAATCCAGATAAGGATAAGTCTCCTAAAAATGTAGAGGATGAAGGCACAAAGGCTTCTGCTAGCAATGCTGAAGAGTCTAATGCTTTAAGTAGAAGTGTGGAAGAGAAAGATGGTACTATCCTATGCTCTCATTCCTTGTCTTAAATATTGGAGACCTTACTGAGTTATATTTATGCTCTTTTACCCTAGAGGTGGATTATAAATTTATACTCCTGCTGCTTTGTCACTAAGGCATACATGGTCTACATGGTCACGCTTCCACAAATGTGATTGTTTTTGTTTGATGCTTGTGCTTAAAAGGAGGTTTTGTACTTGAACCATGACGTGCACTCAATTCTTTCATCATAGCATTATTTGTCTGTCGGAGAAGCTTTCCTCTCAACTTTCTTAAATATATTTCTCAATGTCTTCTTGTTTGTATTGAAAAGTTCCCATCACCTCATCCCTAAATCACTTCTATGCTATACGCAGCTAGCTATTTAGTTTTAGACTTTGCTTACCAAAAGGTAGTTTTATCCAGAATTCTTTTGCTGGTATGTGTCTTTTATGGGCAGCATGCTAGCAAACAGTATATCTCATACGTGCAGTATACCTGTTTCAAGATATCTGTGTTGTTTAGTGTTATCAAGTACATGTTTTCTCATGGTGCATCTCTGGGATTCATACAAGGTGCTAGCGAGAAGGATCAGGAAGATGATAATGAGAGCAGCGATAGTGATGATGAAGAATCTGCAGAAGCGGATGAAGATGAGTCTGATCTGGACTTGGCATGGAAGATGCTAGATGTTGCGAGGATCATTGTTGAGAAGTCCCCAGAAGATACCATTGAGAAAGTAAACATTTATGCTGCTTTGGGAGAGGTGTCACTGGAAAGAGGTTAACTTCTGAACCTGTATATCTGCCTTTTAATGAAATTGGACATATGACGTAGGATCTGTATTTTAATTTGCAGAGGACTTTGAGACATCTTTAACTGACTATTTGAAAGCTTTGTCCATTTCGGAGCAGTTGGTTGAACCTGGCACTCGAAGGATGGTTGAATTGTATCCTTATCAAATGTATTTAGGGTCTGTTTGGTTTGAATGAAAGTTAAGGAAAAGAAAGGAAAACGATAAGGAATATAAATTTTCGTAGTTTGCTAGAGGGAGAACCAAAACGAAAATGAAAATAAGATTACCTAGAGAAAAAAAGTAATATAAACTTTCTTTTCTCTTTTCTCCACCGGACCCTAAGGAAAGGCAGGGAAAAAAGTGTCGGGGCCGAACTTTGAAGGCGCCCATCCCTAAATAATCTTCACAACCCGTGTCTCCTACCTCTTAGCTAATTCCAAGTGGGCCCCACTTGTTATTAAGATGGGTCAGCAAGGGTTGAACCTTTTCTCTTTTCTGTCTAACCAAACATATAAAAAAATCTTTTTCTTTTTCTTTTTCTTTTTCTTTCTTTTTCTTTTCCATTTCATTTTCTTTTCTTTCACTTCACCTCAAACCAAACACAGCCTTAATGACCTCATGAAAGAATTCATTTTCACCAGGAAGGGTAATCTTATCAGATTTAACTGTAGTAAGAGGAACTCTGATCAGTTATTATTCTCTTTGGCTTTCTTAATACTTGAAAATCAGAAATTTTAGGGTATGTTTGGTGTTGGAGGCTTCGGCAAAGGTTCAAGAGGCTATTCCTTACTGTGAGAAGGCTATCTCACTTTGCAAATCTCGCTTACAGCAGCTCAGTGACAACGTGAAGCCGACAGCTTTAGTGCCAACTAATAACGTGAACATTGCTGATGACTCCAGTGTGGGTGACAATCAGGCTTCGAGCAAAGTAGATGCCGATGGGGCTATTGGGGAAGATGAAAAGCAGGTGCTTAGCGGAATCTTGAGTGAGCTCGAAAGAAAGGTAACTACAGGTTTATCTCTTCTAGTATTTTAATTGCTTTTTAGCTGCGTGAGTGTTATGTTTTCATTTAAGACTATATATAATCTTTAATGCATATGTGGGTGAGAACGTTCAGCATCAGTTTACCCTTTCTTGGCCTTTTTATCAAACTTCTAATCTTTGTCTTCCGAAGAGACATGATGAGATTTTTGTGGATTTGTTTCTGTTTCTTTAAGATGATTATTGTATTTACTGACACATTGGTTATTGTTTGAATTTATTGTTGTGCTTTTGTGAAGTGGCAATCTAAGCTTCACTATTTGAATGCAGCTGGAGGACCTTCAGCAGATCTTGCCAGATCCTCGATTCATATTTTCAGAAATCATGAAAAGGATGTCATCTACATTGCCTTCTTCGGATGCAAATTTCTCCAATAAAGAGTCAACATCCACGTCTCTGAATGCTTCACAGATGGCTGTTACGACCGGGGGTTTCGATTCCCCAACGGTCTCCACCGCAGCAACAAATGGTGGTGGGGCTGTAACCCATCTCGGTGTTGTAGGAAGAGGCGTAAAGAGAGCTTCTTTAAACCCTGTTTCTGCCAAACCTCTTTCAAAGAAGCCTTCTTTGGATTCTTCTTCTGGAGTCGTCGAATCTACGGTGAAAGATGCGGAGATCCGGAAGGAGTAATGTTGTTGTAGTTTATCTGTCACATTGGATGCTTCAGTTATGTAGTATGAACATTTGAAAATTGTAGCTCACTTGATCCAAGCTTCTTTTCTTTTCTACACCTGACCTGTGGCCCGTACATGTTATAATGTCGTTATGCTTGCTGGTGTATAGACTTCGGTCTTAGCTTTTTTTGTTTTTTGTTTTTTGTTTTTTTAAACCTGGTGTGTTTTAGAGATTGAAGTTCCTTATGGATGGTAAGCAAATGCTGTAGGTTCTTTTGGATCTCGTCAATGGGTTTGCCTTTGAGAGGGTGACAGGTGGCTGAAGAACCATATATGTGCCCTTGTTAGACGCCAGCTACACATGTAAGCTGCTATTGGAGTCAGGCAAGTCTTTGTTTAAGGCTAACACCGTACAGCTTTAAAGTAATTATGTTAGATTAGCATCTTGGGCCTTTTAGCAAAGCCATGAGGTTGAGGCCCATATCTAAGGCTCTGTTAATAGTGCACTGGCATAGAGCATCTCGTTTGCATCACTCTTTGCTGGGATTTTTGTCGTTTATCAATGCTTGGGATCCAATTGTCATGCACTGCTCTTTAATAATTTTCAAGTAGTGCAAGTTATCACAATTTCTTAAAAAATTATTGCCGAGTCACAGGTAGTAAATTGAGAAAGATTTGATCAAGAAAGTAGTCAGCATGTATAGAATCAATCAACTAAGAGTAGAAAAATTGAGATGTGGTTCATTTTATGGAATTAAAGCAAAATGGCGGCATGAGCACTTCAAAATATCTCAATTTATCGGAAAATATATGCTAGTGAAGTTGAAGGGAACTCGGGAGTCAAAAACCACGGAGAATGTTTAACAGACGCTGCACGATATGTGACAACTGTTGACGGCAGCGGGTAAAGCGGAAAATGAAGGGGGGAGAGAGAGAGAGGGGATGGGGATGAAGACCAAATCAATCCCTCATTTTTCTCATCTCTCCCGTCATAATGTATTTCAGTGATCTGTTCTCTGCATTTGAATGGAAAGTTGAAACCCCTAGAGAGTGACATACAACGTATTAGTAATAATAGAAAGCTAGTCTTATTTGATCAGGAAAAACAAAAAAAAAAATGAGGAGGATGGGATTAGGTTACCTTGCTATGGAAACAACGATGACCATGACGAAGCAGAAGGAAGCAGCGGGGCAGCCCCGATGATGATCGGGTCTGATCTTCAGGAGCTCCGATTAGCCGCAATGAACCTAGTCGACCATGTCATCAAACTCAGCGTTGGCCATGGCCTCGGCTTCGGCACCACCTTCTTCAAGTTCCTTGCTTCTTTTGCCGCAATGTCGGTGCCTCTCTCCCCTCCCTTTCCCTCCAATTTCTTTCTGCAATCTTCTTAGTCTCATTACATCTCCTACAATAATGTCGGGGTTAATTGCAGATGGATCCGTTCTACAAGGTGTTGGCCACTTTTCATCCGTTTACTTTTTTGTTTTTTTTCCCACACATTGATGCTACAATCCTTAGATTGAGTTATCTTTCATCCAATATAGGATGACACATGATGTTAATGTGCTACAGAGAGATGTCCTGATATTTCATCATGTGATTGTGGGGTGAGGAGACCATCTATTTTCTTACAATGGTTGAACATCCAACCCCATAGGACATATATAGACATAAGACACACGATCCATTTATACATCAAATGAGATACTTGCTAAAAGAAACGTTTGGCGATATTAAGTGGTTAAGTGGTGCGTTTGCAATTAACCGTTTCTTTTATTACAAGTCATTTAGTTTAGAAGCTGAGATAAGCGATGATGAATGTCCTACATGTTTCTGGTCATTTTGCCTTACAATTTCATTTTTCACATTCATGATCAGTTAGATACATATGAACTTTCTTCCTATCCTTCTTTTTATTTCATTTCATAGATACATATGAACTTTTTTCCTATCCTTCTTTTTATCTTATCCTAAAAGAAACGTTTGAGCTTGACCACCTTATCCATCTAGCAGAGGTAGTTGAAAAATAATTGCAGATAACCTTCAATACATTTTTACGTTTTACAGAGAACCCCATGACGACATCTGTCTAAATTTAGAATCTAAATGCGTCGCCAACACAAAATATGGACTTAAGCCATCATGTGGGGATCAGCTATAAAATGCAAAAACTTATTGTGGGTTTTCTATAATTCCAATAGTTATTAGGGCTTCAATGGATTGTAGATTGTTATTAGGGGTTTCAGAAGCGGATCTACCTTGTGCGAAGTGTCATGTGACGCCACTTCCCCCGAGGGATCCTTTGAGTTATATTATCTTCTGTAAGTTTCAATCGCCACGGAGAAACCATGTTCTCTACTTAACCCTTTAAGCCCATCTCCAATAAAACCACAAGAACACATGTCCAATGGGACTGAATTATCTAACAAGATTGTTGGCTCATGTCAAAATTTTCTTCCTCTAGTATTCATAGTAATTGAGCTCTCTCAGCACGTACATTAGTTAACCTATGGGTTGAAGTTACTGCAACACTTATTTATCTGATAATATTACTAATTATGTATTTGATAGTATTATTAGTGGCCTAATTAAGTTTTTTCCTCAAAACATGAAAATTCGTCTGAGGACAGCTGTAAATTTTATTTTAATTACTTATTATGTGGTGACATTACTTTTCAGTGATCCTAGATCTTCTACTGAGACGTTTACCAGAAAATGCTGAATGTTCTTAGGGATTTAGTGTAAGTTATCCTTTGGACTTCACATGTGGAGTATGTAAGGAATCTGTTTCATTGTTTGGACTTGGATTCAGCATAAAGTTTTTGAATGTTGCATGAACGTACCAATTTTTTTCCTCTGTATTAACTGAAAGACTTTCCTAATTAAATTCTACACTTCATGGACTTTCTGGTTATCTTTACTGCAGATACTTACTCATCTTGGATCGGACAAACTGGAGAACAAATATGTTGACCTCACTTCTTGTTCCGTACATATTCCTGAGCTTCCCTTCATCTCTGTTCTCTTTATTGAGGTGATTAATGCTGTATATTTTTCTTTTCTTAGATTTCAGATTTTCAATCGCATAATTCAAACTGTTACATTTATTTCAGAGGGGAGGTTGGAAAATGGTTTGCCTTCGTCACTGTTGTGCTTCGACTTTTCTTTCCCCGTCAGTTTCCAGGTTTGTATGATTATATTTTCTTAAAACATTTACCTCTCACTCATCTTTTTTTACCAAGTATTTATTTAAGTCAAAAAGTTAATTGTATGAGTAAGTGGATATTTAGAGGAGTTTAGAATTCATTGATCTTATTTGATAGCTGATCAGTCACAAGGAAGCAGATCTCTGCACAAGATAAACCCGTTAGAGGGCTGGATTCTATTGCTCAGGCGTGCCCTTTGATATTCAAGTGAGTAATATATCAAGGAAATTTGCAGAATCTAATCTAGGGAGTCTAGGGAGTTAATCAGAATTTTTTTGTGTACCTCTGAGTAGTGAAGATTGCCCACTATTTATAAAGGGTCGGTAGGGGCACATCTGTAATTTGACTGCATCGGTGCCATCGGCTGATTAGACCACACTTTATACATGTCGACAGTCGTTAAATGAGTCACCTTTGTATTTAATACAACAATGACAAAATAGTTGAAGTGCCAGCATGGTCCAAAGAGTCATAACTTTGGCCCGACTTTGACTCAACATTAAATGAGATGATGATTGAGCGGAGAAGTAAGACCGTTGAAGCTGATAGGTTATCTTATTATTCAGGACATTCTCTAGTGATGACCTGTATCGAAGATGTCTTTTGTCTTGGACTTGGCTTCTTCTAGCATATCCTAGCTTGAAGATGACTTTCATCTGGAACTTGGGTTTCCAGAGGGGTCATCGATGCTCACAGCTAGGTCAATCTCTCGTACTAGTAGAACTCAGCAGTTAATTATGATACATGATCGACTCTCAAGAGTTCATTAGATTTGATAATTTTCACGATATCACTCGAACTCAAACTTAGGAAGCTGAGTCCGAGAGAAAATAAACCGTTCCATCTTTTTGTAACCTTGGGGGTTTAAACCACCTTTTTGGAAGGTAGTTGTGATGTGACATTCTGACATCAGAGTAGATCATGCACAACAATTTTGAAGAAATGACACTTTGGTTATCGAGCTGACGTCTCGATTAACGAGTAGTCGCTTCATTTTGAAAACCATCTGTGGCTTTTTAGATAACAAAGCCGTCTGCTTAAATTGAGCGATGTGTTGTCTACCCTCTCCTATATATACCCACCCTCTTTGACATCCTCTTCCACTTTTCAAACCGTAGAATTTCTCTAAGTTCTGTTAGTGAGAATTCGGCTGGCTTTTCCTCTAGCTTTCTACTATTTTTAATTGTCTTCTCTAACTATCTTCCTCAATCACTCCAATGGCTTCCAACACTCAACCTTCTACTGCTCTTAATGAGGCTAGAATCACTCTGTTTTAGAAACACAAATCAACAATGCTCTAGACCTATCTCGAGCAAAAGACGAAGCGGTTTGACATTCCCAACACCTTCACTCTGTTAGTTCTCACGCGAGAGCACGTCATCTATTATTATGAACAGCGGAGGCCACACCCACGTGAACAGCGAGACACAATTTGTGTCTCACCACCCTCCCACGCGAGACAGCCGCAGGATTTTCTAGAAGCTGGGTTCGGGTTATTTTTTGGGCCCTGTTCTCTTCCTATAAATAGGAGTCTTCTTCTAAGGTTTTTTAGATGAGAAGAAAACAAGGGTTTCTTTGGGGGCTAGAAAAAAAAGATCTTGAGGAGAGAGCTTTAGAGAGATTTTACAAGAGAGATATCAATTTCTTTTAGGTAAAAATCAAATCTTCTTCTTTTGAGATGAGCTTGTGGATTGTACAAGTCGTCGGTGTTCTCTTCATAGTGGAATCTCCTCTTCCCTTCCCCGTGGACGTAGGTAAGTTTGCCGAACCATGTAAATCTCGTGTCTTTACTGTTTTTTGGGTGTTGACTATTGCTTGTAGGTTCCCTCGACAATTTAGTTCTAGAACTGATGAGAGGAAGAGTGTATATCTCACTTTGTTGAGATATTTCACTTCTGTTCTTATTTTCTTCGCAAAACAGGAACATAGAGGTTGACTTCATCTTTTGTAAAAAAAAGTCAGGGTTTTCTTTCGGGTGATATCGCTTTCACGGCGTGAGGACATGATTCTGCCCCCAACAATTGGTATCAGAACAATTTCTTAGAGAGAAGGAATTATTAAACAAGCGGGGGATGACGTCAACTAGCAAGATGGTTAAAGTTAGAAAGTATGAGATTAAAAAGCTTAATGGGAAGAACGATTTTTCCTATTGGAGGATGCAGATGAATAATTCATTGATTTTACAAAAAATGCACAAGGCTTTGGGAGGAGCTAGATCTGGAAGCATGAGCGTCGATTATCCTATGTCTTGAGAGGGATATAACTTTCTTAGTAGATGAAGAGGAAAGGCTATGGGTGTGTGGTCGAAGTTAGAGAGTACCTTCATGATGAAGAGTCTAACGAATCAGATCTATTTAAAATCCAAATTGTATACTTGCAAGATGGAGGAGGGCTTATCAATCCGGGAATACATCAACAAGTTCGATAGGATAATATCGGATCTGAAGGACATCGATGTGACTGTAGAAGATGAGGATCAGGCTCTTCTACTACTTCTATCTCTACCGAAGTCTTATGAAAACCTGGTGCAAATACTGATGCTTGTGGGAGATAATTTGATGATGGATGAGACTAGAACGACGCCTCTAGCAAATGATATTCGAAAGATTGTAACCAGTGACATGACTACTGGTGGTAACAAGGAACGGGCACATGGATTATTTGCTAGAGGAAGGGGTAATGAGCAAGGAAAAGGCAAGGGAGGAAAGTCTAGATCTAAATCAAGACCTCTTGTGGGAAGACCGTGTTTTAAATATGGTGATGTTGGGCATTTCAATATTGACTATCCAAATAAGAGAGTAGGTGGGAAGAAGAACAACAACAAGACTAAGAGGGGAGAAGGCAAGGAAGAAGCGAGCTATTTTTCAGAGTAAGGGAGCAAGAAGAAATGTTATGTTGTCACGGGTGGCAAGGATATTTTCGAAAAGTGGATTCTTGATTCAGGTTGCTCTTACCACATGTGCCCAAATAGAAAGTGGTCTACTACCTACAGAAGTATTAATGGTGGAACCGTATTGATGGGGAACAACCATGCTTGTAAAACGATGGGGCTAGGTGATATCAAGATTAAGATGTATGATGAAGTGGTCCGAACCCTAACAGAAGAATCTTATCTCAGTTGGTGTTTTGGACTTCGGTGGCTGCAAGATTGTTATAGAGAACGGAGTGAAGAAGGTTGTTCTAGGTTCCCTAGTAGTGATGAAGGGTGTTTGTCACAGTAATCTATATACTCTCTCGGGTACGACAGTGACAGAGAATGCAGCAGTTGGAACTAATAGAAGTGGTGGAGACCCATGTGGGCACACACGGTTATGACATAGGTGGCTTGGGCACATGTCAGAAAAGGGTCTAGATTTGCTTGGTAAAGAGGGTTTGCTAAAGAATCTGAAGAAACATTGTATGGATTTTTGCGAGGATTGTGTGTACAAAAAGGCGCACATAGTCTAGTTTCTGAGAAGCAAGCATAAGAGCAAAGGTATATTAGATTAAACCTTGTATGGATTTTTGCGAGGATTATGTGTACAAAAAGGCGCACATAGTCTAGTTTCTGAGAAGCAAGCATAAGAGCAGAGGTATATTAGATTATATGCACACGGATGTGTGGGTCCAGCTCAGACAACTTCCAAGGGTGGTTTCAGATATTTTATCTCGTTCATAGATGATTATTCTAGGTATGTTTGGATTTATTTTTTAAAGCATAAGATTGAGGTGTTCAAGACATTCAAAAAGTGAAAGACAATGGTTGAGAACATGACAGGAAAGAAATTGAAGACACTAAGATCTGACAACAGTACAGAATATACAGATGAAGTTTTCAAGGAGTTTTTTGATCAGGAGGGTATTGCAAGACACTAGACAGTCAGATCTACACTATAGCAGAATGGAGTCGCAGAAAGGCTGAACCGAACATTACGGGAGAAAGCAATGAGTATGCGATCATATGCTGGATTGAGTAAAGAATGGTGGGCAGAAGTGATGGCTATAGCTTGTTACATTGTAAACCGTTCTCCACATTCGATATTGGATGGTGATACACCTTATAGGGTGTGGTCAATGGAGCATGCAGATTTTTATAGGCTCAGGATTTTCGGATGTACCACCTACTATCACGTTAATGAGAGAAATCTTGATGCGAAGGCCAAAAAGGTAATATTCTTAGGGTATGCAAAAGGTGTAAAAGACTATTACCTTTGGTGTACAGAAGATTCGAAGTTCGTGATTAGCAGAGATGTTACCTTTAATGAGAAATCTATGATTGATAGGGTGCCCAAGGATGATGATGTTAGGATTGTTGGGACTTTCAAAGTCTCAGGTGATTAAAATAGAGCCTAAGGACCAACCAGGATCTAGTCATGTTCAAGAGGATAATCATGAAGATGATGTGCTTGAAGATGAGGAGGTTCAACAGGAAAATACACAGGCCCTATAACAACAGTAGCTTGAGGATAGTTTGGCTTTCACTAGGCCAATGCGAGCATACAAGCAAGTACTAAAGCTGGGGTCTGATCAACCCCTAAAGCACTATGGACATGTTAATTTGGTTAATACGCACTCTCAGTAGAGGATGATAAGCCGTCACCTTCAAAGAAGATACTTAGGATAGAGATAGTGAGAGTTAGTTGGCTGAGATGGAGGAGGAGATGGAATCTCTCCAGAAGAACCAAACATGGGAGGTGGTCCCATTGCCCGTAAGGAGAAAACCTATTGGTTGTAAGTGGGTGTACAAAAGAAAGGAGGATCATTCAGAGCTCAGTGGTACAAGGTACAAGGATAGGCTACTGGCTATGGGGTTTTCACAAAGAGAGAGTGTGGATTACAATGAGATCTTTTCTCCGATGGTGAAACACACTTCTATTCGGGTGCTATTGAGTATTATTGCTCATGGTGAATGAGATCTTTTCTCCGATGGTGAAACACACTTCTATTCGGGTGCTATTGAGTATTATTGCTCATGGTGATCTTGAGCTGGAACAACTCA